AAGAATTGCACTTTTAAATCTTTTTTATTTATCCTACCTTCATAGAGTTATAACATGGTCCTTTAACATTTAATATTACTTTTATTATCACTTATTTCATCATCACAATAATTTGGAGTTTTCACAGATATAAGTGAACATAGTTTTTTTAGTTTATCACAAACATTAAGAGCCTAAGAAATAATTAAACTAGAAATTTAATATATGATTTACATAAATTATCTTTATACCAATCAATGAATTATATTTGCATATTAAATACGCCATAATGATCTAGTTGATAATGCCTCCAGCACAACCTTCTTTCTTACATTCCACAGAAACCATGAACACAGAAGCTTTGTGGTCATAAAGATAAACTATCATTTCTCAATGTTCTCAGCTTTTTCTTTAGCTTCTTTAGTCTTCTCACAAGGACATAAAGTAAAGAGACAGTGAAAATTAACTTCTTTTGTTAAAAAAAGTAAGACTTTATGAGGATATTGTATTGTGGTTAATATCCTGGAATCTGGGTTCACATCCCTGCCCTAGCAACTTGCCAGTTACGTGCATGAGTAAAATGCTTACCACCTCTTTGTCTCAGCTTTCTAAGCTACCTATATTCTAGGATCATTTGTAAGATAAAATAGCAATGTTTATATATGTACCTAGTACATACTATGTGCTAAATAAAGTTTGATGACTAAATAAATAGGAAAGAAAATAGTCATTCTTCTGTATCTGTGGGTTTCTTATCTGAGAACTCAACCAACAATGTGAAGAATATTTAGGAAAAAATGCATTTGTATTAATCATGTACAATTACAGACTTTTCTTCTGCTATTACTCCTAATAATACAGTATAACAGCTATTTACATGGCATTTACATTGTATTAGACATTGTACTTATACTATAGGATATTGAAAGCATATAGGAAGATGCGGTTTTCTGCACTATTTTATATAAGGAACTTGAGCATGCATGGATTTAGTATGGAAGTGATAGTCCTGAATATATGGTTACTGAGGGATGATCATTTTCTTTTGGTAGAAGTAAATTAGATTGCTAAGAGATTCAATTTCACAAGGTAAAGATCTTGTTTGGGTAGAAAATACTTAGGTCAAGTAGAAACAAACTTCTTTCCTTTCTAGCATTTGTTACTTTTCAAATTTGTACCACATTTAATTGCAAGCACCTTTTACCTCCCTCCTGGTGCTGAAACTTTTGTAAGAATAGTCAACTTCATGTGCTCTATCCAACAGCAAATGCATATATACAGAAATTGATTCTGAGTACTTTTGATGAAGAATTTCAGAGATGATAGAGTCTAGGATTCTATTATAAAATGACAAACAATGAAGTTCTAGGGAAAAATGGAAGATTCCATAATATGTGTCTTAATTTAATTACATTAAATGAATGGTATAATTTAAATTTATATTTACTTTTATTTATTATTCAACACTTCATGTTTCTTTCTTTTTTTTTTTTTTTGTTGGTACTGAGGATTGAACCCAGGGTGCTTAACCACTGAGTCACATCCTCAATTCTTTTTAAATATTTTATTTAGAGACAGAGTCTGGCCAAGTTGCAGAGTGCCTCTATAAGTTGCTGAGGCTGGCTTTGAGCTTGCGATCCTCCTGCCTCAGCCTCCTGAGCTACTGGGATTACAGGCTTACACCACCATGCCCAGCTCATCTTTTTTTTTTTTTTCATTAAAGAATCACTTCTTTTAAAAAAGAACTAGGAGCTAAGAACTTAGTCAAACATAGCCTGATAACAACATCTTCTGATAATTACACAGAGTTAAAACTTTCAAGACTTTTTTTGTATTCCAGAAATATATTTTGAATAAAAGCATGGAATGAATCTCCATTTCTAATTATCTTTATATTTTAGTTTCTATATTTCTTGATAAAAATTTAGAAAAAAAACTCATGCCAATGGAAATAAACTTCATCATTTTAAGACTAAATTAATCAAATTATGTTTCATTGATAAATTTCAATAAAGTACTAAACATTTTATGTAAAGTATCTATACCCTTAAAATAAATTATTGTAAATTTTAATTGTAATTGCTATAATTAAGTAATTTTTATTAATTTGTGTTTAGAGTATTGCATGCCTCCTTATGAATCCCTACCTCTGTACATTTGGAAGCCCATTGTAAATTAAAGATGATCCCTAGGTCTTTATTCAATCCCTCATTTAGATGTAAATTTTATCTCCCTACTCCAATTCACCCTAGACCTTGGGCTGAGCCTGTGAATATTGTAGAAGTTAGGTGTGCATATTCTGAGCCTAGTTCTTATAAGGATTTGACAACTTTTGATTTCTTCCTCATGGAACATGTGTACTTGGAATGCTCCCACTTGGATCATAAAGAAGCTCAGGCCATATGCATCGGTCATGTGGAGGAGAACCCAGGAGCTACACTTGAATGTCCCAGAAGATCTTCTAGCTAATATTACCAAGGGCTAGCCATCTTTACCAAGCCTACTCAAATGCCCATATCACAGGAAACAGAAACACCCAGTTGAGCCCATCCAATGCACAGTATAGAGAGATAACAAAATCAATGCTATATTTTAGAGTAGAGGGGGAACCATACATTATCTTCCTGATTACATTCAAGGTAGGACTTCAGTTTGGCCCAACTTAAGGTCAGTACAAATCACTTTTATATGTTATTGCAATCACCTTTATTTTGCACTTTGAACAACAGTGTAAGTCATTAAAGGTCACAGAGATAGATCTGTTTTCACGAGTTCCCATAGCAATTAGCACCTTTCTAGGCACATGGGACTTTGACTACCTGAGATTGCCAGTCGAATCATAACATGATGGAGACAAGAACACTGGGATTTTTTTTGTCTAAGACAAATTTTATAAGGTAAAAATCTGAATTAAACCAATATTAATAACCAATTTAAAGGAGTTTGCCCATTCCTATTTAGACATAGACCAGTGTGAAAAGCAAAAGGAAATCATTCTCTAAGTAAAAAGTAAATTTAAAAAATTCATCAGTTGGAAGGATCAAAAATGATGGTCTTAACTATATTGTGAAATAACTTTCTCCTTTAGGTTTCTATTATGTATTCTACATGTACTTGACTGGGAAATTAATAGTTATATGCATAAACTGTGACTAATAATGTCCTGTGAATGGGTATTATATGTAAAACTATTTATGAACATATTAATGAAGCACAATTCAATTCAGCATCTGGATTTAGCAAATAGAATGAGATTATGTGTATTTAAGGCATAAAAATCCTGTGTTTGTTTAAAATGTGAAGGGTTAAAATTTTTGAATTCCAAATGTACTCTAAATTTTTATTTTTTTTTTAAACTTTTCATATTACCAGTAACTCTGTAAGTCAGGAAATATCCAATATACTTAAGTAATTCTCCAAATTCCTTTCCTTGAGGATCAATCATCCCAGAAAAACTCTCCCTGTTGTGTGGCTTTCCAGAATTCATATTTTCATATATCAGAATCACACTCTTTTAGAGGGAAACGGGTTAGAAAATAATTCAGAGTACAAACTGTACAAGTGTGTGGGAATAGAGGTGAGGAATCACATCCCTTTCTCTCTAGAATCTTAAACTGCAAGTTTATAACATTTTAAAATAATTACTTTTATATATCAAGGACACGTTCTAAAATGTTTGTGAAATGTGTTTTTATGCTGTTTCGAAACACCAGTGATAAGCAAACACAAATATTATAGCATAGAGCTTTATTCATGAGGTCATACAGCCAATCTCTATTGTTTTAGTCTATTTGAAATTGGTAACGTGAGGAAATTAAGGCCAACTCTTCAAAAACGTGAGGAATTTAAGGCACAGCTCTTCAAACTGAAATCTATGTCATTCTCAAGTGAGACGCTTAAGTGAGAGACAGGAATGGGAAGGGGAGGGAGAGCGGGGAGGAGACAAAAAGGAGGGAGGGGAGAGGTGGGGGAGAGGAGGAGGAAAGAAGGGAAAAAAGAAATACCGTCTGGAGCCCAGAGTCTCTTCCATCCCAAGCTCCTGGGCATCTTGTCTAGGTTGTAACAAAGAGGTGACCATGGCGTTTCTTTTTGGCTCTAAACAGGCTGATACAGCCTTCACTGCATGCACATCTATCGCCTCCTCTAATCCCCATTCCTTCATGACTGAAAGCTCTTGATCACGAGAGAACACAGCGCAAGGTCCTAGGCACGCTGGTCAGGTGGAGAGACGGCCACAGGTTCCCAGTTGTGCGGTCAGGGGCGCTGGCGCATCAATCTGTTCGAGGGGAGGGAGGAGTCCCATCTGCCACAGACTTGTGTCGATTCCCCGGGATTTCTGGCCATCCAGCCAGGAGTGTGCGAGGTCGGAGAGGGACAGGTAGCCCTGGCAGTACTACGGAGCACAGAGTGCAGGCGTACACGGCGAGGGAGGAGTGGGTGGCACTGCCAAATCTTAACCAGGGCCCTGGGTGTTTGCAGACCCAAGTACAGCTGCCTCGGGTCTCCACAGTGTCCTCCAGAAGCTGCAGCCGGAGAACCCTGCCTCGCTTGGGGATCCTCTTCCTCCTTTCCCCTATCACGTACCTGCCCTGAGCCTGGGGACACACGGACCGGGGGAACCCCTCTCGGTGGGACGGGTCCAGCCCCGGGTCGCCTCTGCGTCCTGCGGCCGCCGCGCCAGGCTCACCAAGCTCCCACCGGCTCCATGGAGGAATCCCGGGTAAACCCGTGTGCATCCGGCGACTTTTCCTCCGGAATCTCTGGCTTGGCGCCTTTTGGGTGAGAACACAGGGGAGCTAGTAGCCCTGTCTGTCCGAGGTGGCACTGAACAGCTCTGGTGGAGGAACGGAGGATCCGCGTAGTCTGGGAGCTCCAAAGGCTCTTCCTGAAGCGCCTTCGCCCTCCTTTTCTTCCTCGCCGCTGGTTTGTTTATTCAGCATCTGGAAGCCTGGGGGCACTGCCCACCCCTTTGGGCAGCCCGCCCTTCCCTCTCGGGCTCAGGGTCTGGGCTCCCGCACGTGGCAGGCACCAGTATCGTCTCCGCACAAGGACCACGACCGCCCGCGGAGTGCGGGCGGCCGGGTGCCAGCGCGGCGCTCCTCCGCCTTCTGCTCATCCTTCGGGCGCCCTCGCCCACTTCCAAAGCCCAGCTCCGACTTGGGTTTCGCTGTCTGCCCCCGCCCCCCTGGTACGCGAAGAGGAGATTTAAAATATTGCCCTTTGGGTGCTCACGATGTTTCTCTGGGTTCGTTCAGTTGCCGGAAAAGAATGGTAACATGAAGAGCGTCACCGGAGGAAGGGGAAGAGATAGATGGGCAGAGCGCTGACTTCGCGGAGGATCTCATTCCGAGGACTACTCGGGGAAGGGACGTCTCGGCGCCTGCACTTCCTGGCTGGACTCCGCTGACATCTGTAGCCTCCTTTCCTCCAGGTTCCCAGGTCGCAGAGCCACTGCCTGCCCAGGAGTATTTAGGCAGCGCGTGAGGATCCAGGAGTTCGTGAGCCTCCATCCAAAGGGGAGTCCTGCCCTGGATACCGTGTCCCTGGATCCCGGTGGAGCCCACTGGCAAGCTGGCTCCTGAGAGAGTTGAACTTGAGTTCAGGTGGGTTATCCCCAGGGTTAGCACAGGAGGAGATGTTGGGGAAGACAAGGAAGGTGATGTTCCAATGTCAAAAGCGGACACTTTTCTTCCTGACACTTGATGGGGCCAAGCCACTCCCTCTCTCTCAGTTCTCTCTCCTAACCTGCTCCTCCCCAACCCAGACCTCCCACACTAAAGGGGGATGGTGGGCGAACGGCGACAACAACAAACACCTTCTGTTGATTGAAGTATCTAGCATGCTATTCCCTTTTTCATAACTTATTACTCTATAAAACGATCATATTTACTCCATTGGCTTTTTATTAATGAAGGTCAATAGGCTTAACGATTTCCCCAGTTAAGTCATTTATTTCTAAGCCAATAGATAATGCCTTCGTCATAGTTTTCTGGGGGAAAAGTAACTGTGCGTTTGTTCTGCAGATGGCCAACTCCCTCTGAATCGTGCAGATTGGTGCTGAGCACGCAACAAAAGTTTGTAGCTTCCCCTCAGTTTCTGGTGCTTCACAGGGGAGAGGAAAGGACATTGGCATTAAACACAAGAAGCAGTCAGGGAACCATCTCCTTTAACTTTTCTCCTCTGTTACCATTTGCAATGAAGAGGAAACAGAAGAGATTTCTGCAAATGACTTTGTTATTCATGGTGGCTTTAATTTTCCTGCCCAATATTGGTCTCTGGTCTCTGTACAAGGATAAGCACCTGGTGAAATCTACAGAGCCCAGGGAGCAGCAGGTAAGTACCACCCAGAGAAAAGGTCACAGGAGAATTGGTAAGGCATGCAGCCCCATGCTTGGGCACACCAGGAAGTAGGTAGGGGATAGCCTTGGGCTTTCTCCCAAGTCTTTTAGAACTGATTTTACAAGACTCTAGAGACTTCAGGGCTTAAGCAGGTACTTGTTTCAAGATTGCAGCCAATGACATGATGAAATGAAAACTAGAAAAGAGTAATCAGAGAGGTCAAGAAGGAGAAAAGAAAATCTTTCACAATTGGTCTCAGTTTAATTTTGGCTTGAGGTGGATGAAAGGTTACTGCTTATTTGTGGAAAGAGGGAGTGGGTTTGGTGCAAGTTTAATTATAGGGAATGGTTTTGCCTTCTATCTTGTTTTGCATGTCTATAGTAAAATGGATTGGGCCAACCAACTAAATCTTAACATTTTGAAAGTAGTTTTCCAAAAACCAAGCTGTAGTTTTCTGCATTTGGGTTGTAATTTTTGCTTAGCAATGGATTTTTGCCCTGTGGAAACTTGAAGTGTCTCTCTCCCCTGTTGCTAAGGTGATATGGGTGTACAGGGTAAACAGGAGAGTTATAAGACTATCCATTCAGTTTCAGTCTGGTGATAAGTTTGTGGCTAAAGGCTGACCTTCATATGGGAAACATTACATAGTATGAAATGTTTTATTTTAAGTGAGTCTGTAATATGTATAGAGATCTTGACTTAACATGGTAAAAAATAACTTGTCTTTCTTACGGAGCAAAAATGGAAAGTATCCTTCACAAAATATTGATAAAAATCAATATCATTAAATTCTTTGTTTATTAAGAAATAGAACAGCTCCTGTAATTAAATGTTTAATAATAGAATGCAGCCTTCTTTGTGAAATTGATATGACACTTTTGTGGTGGGTCCTGTACTTTGCCTTGGAATCTTAATATTCTTAATTTCAAGGGTCATCTCCCCTGTACACTATTACCTTCCACACATGGAAGGTAAAACTAGTTTATTTCTGGGCCAAAGCACTATATATTATTGACCACTGAGTGTTTGTTCTTATACTTAACAAAGTTTAATTTTCCTTTTACACAGATAGTTGTAAAGTATGTGTAGGTAGTCTGCTTTTTCATTATAACAAGAAGTCATTTCCAATCTCTGAACTTTAAACATATCTAGTTCCTATGGATTTTTAATTAATTGGAATTTTGGGGGAATTGCTGACAATTGCTGACAATATTTTCATCTAGCAGTTGATTTTGATCACCTTTCAACTTTACTAATAAGAATTTAACTTTGGTTTGAAGAATATTCTGTTTTGTCATTCCAGTGGGGGAAAAAAGAAGATGGGCACTTTGGATGTTAAATTTTTTCTCAGATTTAGATCATTTATTTCTCTAAACTCTGATATGAAACAGGATTTTATTAGTAGTCAATACACTATTATGTAAAATTTTCATTACAATATTGGTAAAATAAAAAAGCAAACTTTTTTCTTGAATTTTACTAATTCAATTAACAGTAGCCATCTGAAGTATTTGCTGGTGTAGCTAACATAGAACACTAATTAATCTTATTAATGAGATCTTTACAACTTTCACATTGACCCTATTGATTTTGACTCTTAATGAGAAAATTGTTTGTCCAATCACATTAAAGACAATAAAATGTAGCAATTCAACTCTCTGACTTGTCATTACAATATGCAAAGTGATATCCTTGTTTCTGTTTCTTCTAGAGTACAAATGATGCTTAAGTTTTTAGTAATAAAGTAATGGATATGAAAGGCATTGGTAGCAAAAGAAGCAGCTGTTCCAGAAAGTTTCTTAAGCTGTAGAAAAAAATGACTCAGATGGATGGATATTACAGTTTAATAATCCTGTGGAAAAGTTTTGAAACCAAGAGATGTCAGACACCAGTAAGCTCTAAAATGAATGTTGAAAATGTACTTTTAGTATTTTAACCTTAATAGTTTTACAATTAATGCTTTCTGACAGATTTAAAAAAAACGTGGATATGCATACACTATTATATAAGTTTTAGATAAGTAAAAGTTAAGTCATTAATATATTTGACTAAATAAAAAGTGACTAATACTGATGAATTAAACATGCTTAATATCAGGGTGTAACATTTTGTTAATGTATCTATATTTCAATGTTAGTAAGTTGGATAAATACATCAGTTTTCAATTGAAGGATATAATTTGCCTCTTGGGTAATGTGTCATTTAAATTTAGCAATTTATTTTAAAAATATATTTTTATGGCTAATTGCTAAGTGTTCTTCAAAAACCATTTGTTACTATATTTACCTCCATATTCTAAAATGCTAAAGGTAAACATACTGTGTTGACTGATACATTGACAGCAGCAAGTACTGAAGCTATTCAAAACATGTCATGTGCCAAAGTGAGCGGTCTGTTTTTACAGATGTGGTGTGTCCATGAGCCAGGGGTTCTTGTTCAAAGTGCAGCACGCTACTGGTCCCAGAATTTGAAAAGTCTTCAAAAAAATGACTCAGATGGATGGACATTATATTTTTTGATGGGGTTACAGGGAAAGAATTTCACTTATAGAAGTTCAAAATCATGGAATGGCTAACACTTTTTAAATATTCCAAATCAGTATTTTACCAGGTCATATCACTGATAGTTTACTAACTACTATTCAATATAAATTATATTCATTATGAAAACTGAGATAAATAAATAGGAGTTAAAAGACAAACCAATGATGAAAATTGTGTTTATTTTTACAAAGTTTAGTATGTAATGCAGTTTTCTCAAATCTACTACACTATTCCAAGTTGATTGTTTTTATCGTGATTTCATTTTAAAGGTAATATTTAGATAATTCTGAATAATATTAATACATTTGGCCCATCTATGATGCAGAAAGCAAGCAAATTCAATCAAAATTCCCAAGTTATTCATCTAAATATTTACCCTCTTTTCCCCATAAAATCAAAATTATTAAAATAATTTTAATAACTTAAAATTATTTAAAAATAAAATTAAAAGCTTCACATTATTTTATTATTTGGACATTGCAAAATTGAAATCAAATTACTGAAATAAATTTTGAGATTTTTAAAATTTTATTAAAATCTTAAAATATTTGATTATTTTTGTCTGTTACTAAATTACCACAGTCATTATTATTATATTCAATTAAAGTTATTTTCAAGCAAGTCATTTTCAATTGACTTAATTTTGTTTCTTTTTTGATGATTTTGGGATAAGTATCTACTTTATATTACTCATAAAGTAGATACTTGTATTTATTTTACAATATTTATGTAAATTATTCATTTATAGTAAAAAGAATCTATTGATAGTGAATGTGACATTTAGCTGAAAATGATTCCTGCACTATTTTTTATATTAAATTTTAATTTCATATTTCTTTTTTTAACATATGGATTACTACTCTTCTCTGGGTTTCAGCCGTATTCGAATGAAAGTACAGCTATATTTTTAGACCTTAATTAAGCTGTGCATTAAGATGCAATTATAACTATTGCATCCATATTAATTTATTTATCTTCCTAATCTTTATTCAAGTATACATAGAAAAATCTATTCACAAAACATTTTCTGTTCTTAAATGCAATAAATAGATTAACCAAAATTTTAAGAAAATAACTATAATAGTAGTTCAGCAACTAAGTTGGAAAAAAACTGAATTGAAGAAGTAATTCAAGAATATTCACGATGTGAAAGGATTTTATAATTTTTAAAAAAAAAACAAAGATCAAAACCCCACAATTTCATATCAGACATTCTAAGAAATATTCAGAGAAAATTTAGAAGTTTGTGTTGGCCTGGGTCATCCACTGCATTAAAAAACAAAATACAGACAAAAACAAACAAAAAACTAGACCCTCTAAGTCATTTTGACCTTGTGGAACTTTCTTTTTTTTTTTTTTTTTTTTTTTTTTTTTTTTTGTTCAAAACCTTACACAGTTCTTAATACATCATATTTCACAGTTTGATTCAAGCGGGTTATGAACTCCCAACTTTACCCCGTATACAGATTGCTGTATCACATCAGTTACCCTTCCATTGATTCACATATTGCCTTTCTAGTGTCTGATGTATTCTGCTGTCAGTCCTATTTGTGGAACTTTCTTATTTCTAAGATTTTCAGAATTTCTAATTACAAACTAGAAATACTCACGCTTGTCACATAAGGAGAGGTATGATGTCCTGAGAGATCCCACCTTGGAGGTGAAAAATATTATGAGGTGAAAAATTATGTTTTGGTTTTAGCCAGATTCGCATGTAAAGGATGCTTTGCCCATTAGTAACTTAACTTTCCTTAAAAATCAAAAAACAAGAAACAAAAACTAAACAAAACAAAAAACAAAACAACAATTAAAAAAAAAAAAAAAAACCTTCTCTGAAACAGATAGATCCCTTAGATTTGTGTCCGAAAGAATTTTAAATGTTAAACAGCCTCTATCCTTCTCTCCTCCTTCAGGAAGACTCTTCTCTTTGACAGGGAACATTTTTTTCCTATGGCATTTAAAAATGTGTCTTATAATATAAAAATGTCCGATAATTGGTACCCAGTGTGTGCAAACTGACTTTAGCCTTGTTTTGTCATGCCGATCTAAAGCTGTAAAGTTTGTGCTCCTTCTCCAGCAGACACCTTAGATATGGGAAGAGCTAAAGCAGGGAAAAAAAAATATGAAGATTTTCTTCTCTGCACTCAGGATAGTACATTCTCAACACAGTAGATGTGAAATGATGCATTTCTTTGAGCCATACTGTTCTTAATTAGCTATGATGTGGACTTTAAATTAGGGCTTTAAAGGACCTTTTCTTGAATTTATGGAAAATCCATTCAGAATCACTATGGGATGGCAGCACACAGACCACTGTAACAAGTGTCTTAATTATTTGCTGTGACCTAGTAGATCGCTACATGATTAGTTCATCACACTGCCCCATGGGAGACAGAGTGTAAAACCGTCTTCTGTTCACAAGCTGGTAAAAAATTAGATAGTGTTTTCTCC